GTCTTGGTTGTTATGATGCACTGCAGAAGTCCTTTTATATATTACAAAAAGAACATGAGGGAAAATGGTTGAACCTTTCTGTCTTGGTTGTTATGATGCACTGCAGAAGTCCTTTTATATATTACAAAAAGAACATGAGGGAAAATGGTTGAACCTTTCTGTCTTGGTTGTTATGATGCACTGCAGAAGTCCTTTTATATATTACAAAAAGAACATGAGGGAAAATGGTTGAAACTTTCTGTCTTGGTTGTTATGATACACTGCAGAAGTCCTTTTATATATTACAAAAAGAACATGAGGGAAAATGGTTGAAACTTTCTGTCTTGGTTGTTATGATACACTGCAGAAGTCCTTTTATATATTACAAAAAGAACATGAGGGAAAATGGTTGAACCTTTCTGTCTTGGTTGTTATGATGCACTGCAGAAGTCCTTTTATATATTACAAAAATGAACATGAGGTAAAATGGTTGAACCTTTCTGTCTTGGTTTTTATCATACGCAGCTGGATTTTTTTATATAGTCCATATAGTTAGTTAGCATCAATTCCTATTTATAAAAAGATCAAATTTATTTATTTTCTTACTTGATACACTTAGAGTCAATTCCAATATTCTCAATGGCTAGAAATCTAGTTTCTTTTGGATAGAAACTATCTGTTTTGAAATGTGTAAAATCTTGAAGTGGGGAAAAATCTGGATCTGGAAACCAAAAGTGACAAAAGGGAAGAATTCCTTTTCCTTGCAGTTCTATTGTTGTTCCTAAATCAGGTCCTTCACCTTCTGAAACACTAAAAAACGAAGTTAGATTATAGATCACTTAAGAGATAAAAAAAGTGCAAATTTTAAATTTAGGACACTATTAATATGATTAAGATGAAGTTGTGCATAATGACAATTCCATCCTCATAATCAGAAAAAAAATTATATCACAAACTTATATATCAGTTTAGTTCTTTTTATTGTGAAAGTAATGAAAAATTAGACTGAGAATGAATAAAACATAAAAATAACCATAAGAGATATGTACCTACACTATACATATGCACCAATAATTAAGTTTAACTATATGTTCATATCCCCAAATAGAAAAGGAAGACTAAATTCAAAGAACTGCATAAGTTCAAATAATAATAAAGAAACAAATAGTTCATTACTGTAAAATGTAAATACAATTACTGTTAACCAAAGTATGTACAAACCAGCATTTGGCCAAAGATTTGTAATGAGCTACAAGTGTGGGAGAGAACTTGACAAGAATTACAGCTGACTCAGCTGGTGGAATTATACCAGATGATGGATAGATGGAGAAAGGACTCATCATGGATGAGGAGGCCAATACTGAAGGGGTGATAGTGTCAGCCCGGGTTAAAGAAGAGCAACTACCATTATCACTACAATTGGCTGGACTTAAAGCAACACTCCATTGATATGCTAATGGAACAACACTGGTGTTTTGGAGATTAAACCTAAGGAAAAAGAACAGGCATCATAGGTTAATATTAGATATAAATGTTTTATGGGAGAAAAAACACTTTAAAATTACAAAGTATTTTAGTCAATGTTTCTCATAAAGAAAAACAAGAACAGTTCTTCTGAAAGGTGAGTCCAGAAAGAAAGAAAATATTCCAGTTAATATTGAAAAGAAATAAAGAATAATATTTGTGTTTGATGAATAACATCATAAAAAACAAGATATTGTATTCAATGTTGAAAAAATGTACAATATTTGTGTTTGATGAATAACATCATAAAAAAACAAGATATTGTATTCAATGTTGAAAAATGAACAATATTTGTGTCTGATGAATAATATCATAAGAACAAGATATTGTATTCAATGTTGAAAAAATGTACAATATTTGTGTTTGATGAATAACATCATAAAAAACAATATATTGTATTCAATGTCAAAAAATATACAATATTTATGTCTGATGAGTAAACATCATAAAAAACAAGATATTGTAGTCAATGTTGAAAAATGAACAATATTTGTGTCTGATGAATAATATCATAAAAACAAGGTATTGTATTCAATGTTGAAAAATGAACAATATTTGTGTCTGATGAATAATATCATAAAAAACAAGGTATTGTAGTCAATGTTGAAAAATGAACAATATTTGTGTTTGATGAATAACATCATAAAAAACATGATATTATATTCAATGTTGACAAATGAACAATATTTGTGTCTGATAAGTAAACATCATAAAAAACAAGATATTGTAGTCAATGTTGAAAAATGAACAATATTTGTGTTGTCTGATGAATAAACATAATAAAAAAACAAGATATTGTAGTCAATGTTGAACAATTTGACATTTTTGACATTATACACCATCTATGTGTATGAACCTTAATTTCTTTTAAACTTAATAATTCATGAAATATTTTTATGCACCTTTCTTTTCGTTTGCAACTAATAATTTGTTTAATAATAGAGAAAAACACAAGTTCTTAGTTTTACATCAACCTTTGTAATTGATAAATATCTTAAATCTATTTTAATCTTTTCTAAATATGTGATTTTCTGAGTAAAATGTCAAAGTAATTGTTTGTTTGTAGTTAAGCACAAAGTTACATAATGGACTATCTGTGCTGTGTCAACCACGAGTATCAAAACCTGGTTTTCAGGGGTATAAGTCCACATATTTACTGCCGTAATTCTAGGGGGGGGAGTTTATTTTGTATTTTAATACATAAAATACACATTATATTTTATCCTTCAATATTTTTCTATTTTTAAGAAACCTGGTGTGACAAACAAGACAATGATATTTGAATGGAATTATGACAAGTGAATGTAATCACCAGATATAACTGGTGAGGTTTAACTAGTTTTTACTTATAACACAGTTTAATGAAGTTTTCTACTTAGTATATTAAAACAGGTAGAGTTTGAGTTATTAAAGTTGCTACTTTACACTATGAACTTACTTGGAGACACTTGTCATGAAGAGATAAGTATCAGGAAAGTTGATAGTGGTAGTGTCTACACTAAACCGACTACAGTCACACACAATGGTTACAAACAGATCAAGCTCTAGTGGAGAATCTGTATACAGTGTATGCTCAGGTTCTGATTTGTGTCTTGTTTGAGAGTAACATGTTGCATTGTCCCTACAATCAATATACAAGCTCTTATAGAAACGAACTTAAATGTCCAAAACTTCAAGACAAGACATGTTTCACTTGATTTGTGTCTTGTTTGAGAATAACATGTTGCATTGTCCCTACAATCAATATACAAGCTCTTATAAAAACGAACTTAAATGTCCAAAACTTCAAGACAAGACATGTTTCACTTGACTTGTGTCTTGTTTGAGAATAACATGTTGCATTGTCCCTACAATCAATATACAAGCTCTTATAAAAACGAACTTAAATGTCCAAAACTTCAAAACAAGACATGTTTCACTTTTTATAGCTAAAAAAAGCTTTAGATAGAAAGGATGAGTTTAAAGAGCATGAGCAAATAACATTAACAACCTTTTTTACTGACACGCCAGACAAAATGACATTTACAACACAAAAGGTTAGAATAATTTCATTTAAACCAAATGGTTAACAACCTACTATACATTCCAGCAGAGTCTAGTGTTCTTGAAGTTAAAACAATACAAGATTTGGTTTTTATTTTTACAAAGACTCCAAGCTTTAAATTTTTATCATCCTTAGAAATAATATATATATTTACTTTTTATTATTCTTACAAATAAACAAGCTTTAGTTGGTAACTACTCTAACAAATAATATAAGCTTTATGTTAATTTAAATAATTAAAGCTTTAATTTTATATAACTTTTTTTTACAAATTGCACTTTTCTCTATAGTAACAAATAACAAAGGTTTTTTTGCTTTATTTTCAAGCAGTTTGGATAAATAATTGGCCAGGATAATTTGAGTGAGAGATAAACAACATTTCAATATACTTTCATCAGGATTTAATGTGCTATGGTGCAACATATGGATCTCTCATGCAGGTTTATGTCTTGTTGGGTACTGAAGCCTAAACTGATTCTGAACCAGTAGCTTTTTCTGTCTATGGTGAGGAAGGTGGTAAGCATGACCTATTGGTAAGTTTGCTGGACTGTGAATCTGGGGTCCATCATCTCTATGCCATTGCTGCAAAAATATATTTTGTACTACACTTTGAGATAGTGAGTGCATCATAAAGAGTGTCAACCCACCCACTATTCAACTATACACCTGGAAAAAAGTTAAGCACCCCCAAATATTTTTCAGGATTGCTTATTGAAA